TATATATATATAGGGTTCAGCCTCCTGATGAGTCGGTGAAACTCCGACGAAACAGTTTGTCACAGCCCCTCGTTTGTTGTCCTCTTCTCCCTCTCTGCCTACGGTTTACCGGGCAGTTCTATTTGACAATATATATATATATATGTATAGTCAAACAGAGCTGCCCGGTAAACCGTAGGCAGAGAGGGAGGAAAAGGAGGACAACAAACGAGGGGCTGTCACAAACTGTTTCGTCGGAGTTTCTCCGAGTCATCAGGAGGCTGAACCCTCAACAGTCTGCAGAATCCCCCTAACTGATTACACTGTAAATGATAGTCCACCTTAACCCCACGCTTCCTTTCATAAGCAGCCATCAATTCAATGCAGCCCTTATGACAAGGATTCGTCAAACCCAACGTCGTTGCTTTCCGTCGAAGCGATTTCTAGTGGGGCGTCGCCAACTCCTCGGGTCTTCGGATAGATTATCTTCCTCTCATGCTGGCAACTGAATTCACTTGAAACTTTTGAAAGTTGAAATCAAAAGAATGTCGACACCGCGCCAAAGGCGCGAGCAATCAACAACAGGCCAAACAAGTTCAAACAACACAACAAAAAAAAAGAAAAAAAAAAGAAAGGTAAGTCTTAAGAATTTTTTGTCATGAAAAAAAATAAAAAATAAAAAAAACAATTTTCTATCCTGACATGTCATGTCATGTCATACACTATCGGGCATGCGCCAAATGTGGATTGCATATTTTCAACTTAACCTGGCTCTGATGAGACACAGATATTTAGCCAGGGAAGTCCTCCTGTGAAAAAAGCCCTCAGTCTAAATTTGTCAAAGCCTCAAAGGGGGAAATGACACAGGTGGGGGGGCCACGATTGCAACATGTTGCCCCCGAAGTAGGCCACTAAAACTTTACCTGCATTTACGCGAAGGCAAGGTGCATGGCCTGCAAATAGCTCTCTGCACACAGTACGTAAAATTTCGATAGCCTATTTCCTATTTCTGTCATTGCATACATAGTGCTGTAACTCGTGTGCCAAATCGAGCCGCTGGGCTCTGTTGTGCCCTCAGACAAGCACGAACGGGCAGGCCCTGAAAAAAGGGGTCAAACAGGCCCTCGAAAGCAGCCTAGACCGACAGTTAACCGAAAAGTCAACCGTCAGCTGGTGGACCCAGGCCCAGATCCGAGACGTCAAAGTCAACACACAAGATTTTTTTTCCTGGCCGTCGATCTGGAATGATCTAACAGTGGTCTGCAGGTTCTGGAAGATTCAGGCCTCAAGGAGTCCAGACCGAAACTGGGACAAATCGGATCTGAGCTGTCGACATTCGGGAGAATCCGGGGCCTCACATGGGTAGACGCTGACCCTGGACAGCGCGAGTCGACACTACATAAGGTTGACCTCGCCACTGCTTGGGCATTCAGTCTTGCGAGTTGCTTGCGGCTTCGATGCTGCAC